CTATCGGAGTCCTGAAACATTTTACATAACATGTCGACAAGTGAACTTCTTACCGATGAGGACGATGACGAAATGCGGGCCTTTCCGCGAAGGTAATCATGTAATTTAGTTGGAGTACGTTTTTCGCGACTTGATTGGCGTCGGGAGATGTGGCCGTCAGACACTACAAGTCTTAAAGGAAAAGGTCGCGTTTAGCGCCTATTAAACGACTGGTTGCTGTTAAAGCAGGAACCAGGCTAGGCAAAGGTCGCTTCCAATGAAACTGGAAGCTATGGTAAAGGTTTTATTTGTGAAATGGCATGTAGTACAAGGCAAGCAAAGCGTACGAGGAAAGAGCAAAGTACGTTAAACAAGGAAACTTACCTGCTGACCAACATTTAAATTATTGTGGCTCTTTCTTCACGTCACAACGGTCGTTAATCTCGATGAGGACATAGTGATTGTCAACGGGGAACGACGTGTACTTGCGGACGTCCGATGGCAATGGGCAGCAATGCAATGTATCACCTAACTGTGCTTTAAAAACTTTGAAATTTGATGAGTTTTGCGGATAAGTACAAAAATTCTCAACATTAATATACTCAACATACACCAAATGAATATCACCCGTAGGTGAGCGAACAATGTTCTTTTGATATATATCAAAAGATATTTTAATTTCTGTATATCCATAGTTGTCAAATCGATATACAGCGATCTTGAATCACTCAGATAGACCAACTTTTGCGTTTTGGGCTAAACAGGCCTGCTAATCCCTAATAGCAACGGTATAACGACGTTAATATATCAGGTATATCGATATTTCGATATATAAATATCGACATGTCGAGATTCGGGGCCATGTATATAAATGGATATTGCAGCACCTTGCCCGCCTGCAGGACATTTGACGCACCCACCTCTCCTTTCGTGGCAGAATTACTGTGGCCGTATTTTCCCGCCCAATGTTTACCGATATTGCCACTCCATGTCGACGTCCAGCATGCTAGGCAGTACAGCGTCCTTCACCCTCTGCCGCATACTGACGTACTACCGTCTCCGGAAAATTTAATGGAAAGTCAAAACTTAACGGAATGTCATATGGGTAATTTAAAAAAAAGAGATTTATTATAGGGATATCAATAAACGAATAGTAACAAACGCGGGGAATTCATAGATGCCTTCCTGGTCTTGGAGTTGAAGTTGATCGTCGAGAAAGCTGACCTATTATGAAGATGTATTTTGAGAGCTTCGAACAAACGGAACGATTGCCAACATAGCGTGGGCAGTGGCCTTAGTCCAGAAGGTTCCAAAATGCATAGGCGCACACCATACGCCATGATTATTCTAGCAAGACCAGAACCATATGAATACGCTGGAGTGGACAAACTAAAGAACCCCGCTGTCTTTGTGTGGTGTAAGATGAAGCCGTTACCAACAGAACTGCTGCCTTGCCTTCTGCCTACTAGTCGGGTTAGAACATTTGGGCTCTGACACATTGGCACACGGAAAGCCTAACTCATTTCTTCCTTGCATTTGTAGAAATCGTAATGGACGAGAAGCCTGGTCATGGACCATCTGACAAGGATTCCACGCTTGGCGGTATAGTGCCCTCATCGCCAGTAAGTAACATTGATCGCGATTGTCCTGAATATCAGAATCCAAACGCGCATGGCCTGGACACGAAAGCCGCAGACCCCTTGTGTCCGGATAGTAAGACGTCTTCAAGTTCTTCTACAGATCTACCGGAGCAAACCAACCAGCTTACCGATATCGAGCAGAATTTGCGCGCCCTGCACCGTCAGATGAAAGCTTTCTCTAAGAAACACCAACAGTTGGCGAAGAAATACCGACGTCTGCGCGCGCGTGTACGCGCACTGGAGGCGCGGGCAGTTGAACCTCCCACAACCTCGAAGGAGGTAGTTTCGCTTGTGCCGAAAAATCCTCTCCGTCGACCGTTGCGTACGGCGTCGGATTTCTTGCAACTGAATGCTGGTTTAACTGACACGGCTTTTCGCAATCAACTAGTAGGTTATGCTTTGCATTATCCCCTCCCCCTTCCCCCTCCCATTAGATTACCTACCTTGTATTTCTTGGAGGTAAAAATACTGGAGATCTCGTCATGCGCATTTTTAAAGCATTATTTGACTTTGAAATCGCCCACCACGTTAATTTCACAGGGAAGCACTCAAAGGAGAGTTTCTCCGGGTCCAAAACGTACGAAGTAATAAAGGGTATGTAGTTACTTATTTATGTTACCGCGCTGTATAGAGGTGTTTGTGAAGTGGTGTGGAGATAGAAAGTGCAATCTATCTGACCTAGAGGCTGCAGTCACAAAGCGTCTGCACAATTATTCCGATGCCCACGCTAAACGGATTCGAAGTGCCAGTAAGTTGAATCCTTATTTCAAATCTTGTCGTGTAGAAGGTAAACAGAGGCAGCCGCCGCCGCCGGCGCCACCGTCGGGAATCCGGCCTCCACCATACACAGACAGACAGACTTGATTGAATTGCAATTCGTGAACCCAGATCTGGACATAAACATGTTCTAGTTTTTATGCCATTTATTATACAATTTAAAAACGTGCGCATTTCACCGTCTTTGCTGTAACTTCGCAGTGTGCCAATGTTATCCAGAGGCCTGACAGTTCGACCGTCACTCTCGATGCTGTCCATCACGAGTCTCAGCGGGTGAAGCAATGCGGTGGCTTCCGCGGGATTAAGGCGAAGGTAGAATCGCGGAGAATCTACCCTACTCTCTCACCACTCCCACACCGAGGGACAGAGTTGGGAAAATTGGAGATGGGGGAGGGTGCAGGCGGCTGGTGCGATCAAGACTCAACACGCGTACCAATAGCACACCTTCT